TGGGGCCTGAAGGTGCACAGATATCGTCACACAGGTGTGAAACGATTCGAGTGTGACCTGTGCAAGTCACGATTCAGCGTGAAAACGAAGCTGGCCAAGCACATTTACGGCCACATCGGGGAAAAACCGTACAAGTGCGATTTCTGCGGTCGCCAATATGGCGAACGTTACCAATTGAAGGCACACAAATGCGGGAACCCGTCCAAGACGAGGATCGATAGATCGTTCGCCGACTCGATCACCCAGATCGTCTTCTTCCATCCAAAATCGACCAACATCTCGTTCGATTCGAGTACAAAGAGTCGGTGATACAGTTTCTGTCTAACAACGTATTCGTATTCTCGGCAAAACGGTATTCTCGTTTTCATACAACGAATAATAACGCAAGAAACATGTTGCAGGTTTTATCCAACTGTGAGGGAACGCGTTGAGTCGACGAATCTCGCCCATAATAAAAAAAAAAGTGAATTGATTGATAGCGGATGGATCGGTTCGTTACTTTCGACACGTTGAAAGAAGAAACAAAATGTGCGTGCATGTGTGTGTATGTGTGTGTTTGTGTATATAGGTTGTTCGTTTTGTACGTTCGATTTGTACAATACAAATGCAAGAAAACTCGAGATTTGATTAATTTATATAAATAAGGAGGGGATTAAAAAAAGAATTCGTTCCCGTATAGAATATAATATAACATGTAAAATCGAAAATCGTTAGTGTAATTAAATCTTATGCGAGTTTAATTATTCTTTGTATACGCAATTTCATTATATAGCGTGATATCACGATTTGAAATCGATCCTTGCAATTTCGATGTTCTTTTTTTCTTTCGTTTTTTAAATGTAATGCGAGCGAGTTCGAGGTAAATTTCAAATATAAAGTTTTAAGGTTCGATGTTCTCAAATTTATATTCGAAACGATGGAAAAAAAAAAAAAATAATGAAATTTTAATTATATTGAAATACGATTGGGATTGGATCAATTAAATTGTGGAAAAAAAAAATGGAATGTTCAAAAAGAAAAATTTGCAAACACGAATTAAATCGGTATTTTCGAGTCGAATGGAATTTTTCTTTGTAAAAAAAAAATATTAAAATTATCATCGATCCTAAACCGAATGATCCAACGTATCGCCAAGTCACGTCCACCTTTAATGGTGGCGGATTTTGGATCTTTGGATCTCGTGTTTGCATGCCTGTACAGATTTAATAAAGAATCAACCTTAATAACCACCGTGCCGGGGAATGAATGCCAGAATTAATTCGAATCCGACTCGATACGGATCGCCTTTGAACGGCTTTGAACGCGGCATACCTCGAAGCTTGCAAGAAGCTTGCCTTGATTCGTCATCAAGATGGCTCGAGGTGTAATCATAGTGCATTGCTTGCGTATAACCGAGAGACGTGATCGAATTCGATGAGAGAGGTTTGATTGTTTAATCGAACATTATACGTGGACAATAGTTTCGTTACTTACTTTCGAAAGGAAGGATTCTTTGATGATTTCGACAATTACATTTTCTTGCGATTCCGACGATGGATATGATCACGCTTGGACGAGTATTATTCGAGGAACGATTAATCATTTGGAATATAAGAAAATAAAGATGTTCGAGATTATTTTTAAACAAGATTTTAAACAAGTTATTCAATTTATTTCCAATAATGATAATTAATAATAATAATTAATTCTTCTTATATTCTAATTTATTTCCTTTTTCTTTTTTTTAGAGAACAAGTATATCGAAATAATTTATCCTCGAAAAATAATCGTTGAAATGATCATCAGATACAAAATGAAAAGAAAAAAATTTTAATAGAATAAGAATTCAAGATGTACAATAAATACAACAAGCAAATTTTTATTCTAATAAAATTTTTATCAGACAGAACGTCTTATCTAAATTTTTCTTAGATAAGGATATATCTTATCTAAAAAAAAGAATCGCGTACAAAAATAAATTAATACATATTTATTTACACTCGATCGATCGGAATAATATTCTCGAAACGAAAGATTCTATTTGGAGAGACAAGTTGCAACTTTAAAATATCTCTTTAAAAACTGTACCATAACTTCATTGTTTGAAACGCTATCTAAGAAGAATCCAAATTAAAATCCAACGCGCCGATATAAACGAATTAACACGAAGAAGACGTCCCAATTGATCGAGAGATCAATCCTTGGATGCATTATTGTATAATTTGATCCTGATGGAAATCCGCTCGTTGTCGGCCTCAACTGTATCTCGAGCACGTGGGCCCCGCTTGTGTCGCCGCACGTGAGAATGGTAGTTTAAGGTGCGTGGACACAGCGGGGGCTCGCATACGGTAATCCGAGAAGAACCGCCCTTTATCTGATTGCATCTGTGATTCGCGAGCCTCCTGGAGGCAACCCTTTGACAATGCCGCCGAGCACGTCTGCCTGCCCCTTCCCTCTCTATTCGCGAATTCACCGTGTGTGTTCCGGGCTCTTTCGACCCTGGAAAAACGTTCCCTCTAATTTCCCTCTAATTTGAAACCTGCGTGCATCTCGCCGGATGATAGGAAAATTTTTTAAAATAATTCCATCAACCAAAACTTTTCTTTTTCGTTCAAGGATCGTGAAAAATCCTCTCAAGATTCCGAAATATCAAAGAAACCACCTTTTTTTTTCTTCACAACACACTCCCAAATAATAGGAATCGGAGCAACGAAAATTATTCTCAGACTATCTACGATAATATACATTTATATAAAAAAAAAAGAAGAAGAAAAGAAAATTACAAAGCTAATATTACAAACACCGTTCCAACCGTTAATTTTTCTCACAACTTCCTCCCAAGCAACTTTTCGCGCGCAAGAAAGCAGATGATCCAAAGCTCACCTCACTTATATATGCCAATGACAAAAAAAAAAAATAATTACGATTTTGACACATCGCTTCCGTCGCCCATATTTTAAATATATATATATATATATATATATACACACACACATACTATACATACATATATACACGTCGTATATTTCGCCTTCATATTTCTCGCCTAATTATGCTCGGCTCGGGTGAATCTCCACGATCTGACAGTTGAGTCGGCGCGTACACACGCCGGCTTATGCAGAGTCACGCCAACTTCTAATTATTTAGATAGCGATCGTTGAGCTTTAATTATTTCTCTCTCCCCTCCCTCCCGTACTCCGCAACACAAGCAGTTGCTCCATTCGCCGGTGCTATGCTAATGAGGTATCTAGGCAGAGAGTCGAGATACCAAGACCCGATTAATATTTCGCCTCTAGACGGTTCCTAATTGCGTACTCTGCGGCTGCTGTTTTTCATTTATACTGAAAAATCGCCTAATCCGCGCCGCTGTTTTTCGTCTTACCGTGTAGAATAATCGCGATCAAAGGTTGAGGACAACGTCGAGCGCAAACTCGTCGGGGTTAATATACCTGGGCTCGGGTGTTGGACGGTGCACAGATCGCCAGATCGTCCGATTACGGAAGGGTAACGGTGTTCGTTAATTGATCGTGTTTAGGATTCGAATCGGACGCCGTGAGAATTGAATGAATTAACATTACGATCCGTGTTAACGATGGGTTGAATTAGAGTGTGGGTTGTTGTTTTTTTTTCTTCTTCTTTTCTTTTTTTTCTTTTTAGAAATTAGCCGAGCGGACGGGTATATTGTTTGTTTAGAGCGAGATTGATCGGTTTTAATTATCGGGTGCGAGGGATTTGTAATTAAGAGGGGATTCTCGCGTTAGAGATAAAAGTACGAAATTCGTTTGATTAATGAATTTTCGTATTGATCAAAAGCAGATATATATTTATATTAATTTTAATTAAGCGATTTGAAGTAATTAGAAAGTGGGGAGATTTTGGTTTTTGGTAAAATTGACGAATAACAGAATTATTGCATAATACACAATATGCAGATAAACAAATTTATCCTTTAAGACGATATATTATAAAACGTACGAAACGAACATCTTACAAAATTTTCCAAGCAGTTCTTCTTGCAACGGAGTTCGAATAAAGTCCTCTCCCCGTTATTAAAATACATATTTTTTAAACGAAACAATTCGCGGAATAAAAAAGTGGAGGGGAGGAAGGGGAGTGGGAAGGAATATTAAATAACGACGATGTCGATTAGTATTGACAACGGCGATTAAAGAGGTCGAATTGCCAGTCGGTAATGATCGAGCAGCGTTCGCGAGCAGTGAGCACTGTAATTTCACTGATAATATTTAAATACGGGCTTTTGATAGCTGTCTTCCGTTGGCCGGCATTAACGCGGGCCCCGAAGGGCCCCGTCGAATCCCTTCCACCTGCCTGCCTCACTCCGCCCCTGAGAGTACGGCAGAGGCGTACTATTTATCGACCTGGTCCCGTCATTATTTCATCGAACTCTTTCATCGCCTCTTCTGGTTAATCGACGACCCGTGAAGCCGAAATCGAGCCACGAAACTCTTCCATTCTTCTCCCTCCTCCTCCTTCTTCTTCTTTCCTTTCTTTCTTTCTTTTTTTTTTTTTTTTTTACTCTCTTTCACTCGTTCAGACGATGATTCTATTATTATATTAGAGAAATTATTCCATTATGTATAAATTTCCTCCCTTCAGCTTCGTGGTGTTCCTTTAAGGCAATTTTGAAGTTACCGGGTATTATATGTCGGATCACACGCGGCCACTTATGTACCCCTCTACCCCATCTTTTAGAAAGTTTTAAGACTTATTATTATTGTATTGCTCGAAGGATCGGGGGAGGGAAATTAGATGATCGTTAATTGTTATTAATTCGATGGTTTGTACACGTTTAAAAGAAAAATTGGATAATGAAATTTTTAATAGCCGTATGGAATATCATCTTATTTCGAAACAAATCTAAGAAAAAATGCTTTTTATGTAATGTATTGAAGAGTAAAAGAGAAGATATATCGATTATTGTTTTTGGATTTTTGGTCTCTTTTGGATAAGAATAGTTTATTTTCAAAAATGAACGCAAATTTAAAAATAAATTTTTTAGATAAATTATACGTGAAAATATATTATTATATTATTAATAATAACGTTTTATAAAAACAAATTAGCGAAAATTAAATTACATGTTGTACGAATGCAATCTAAGAGAATGATCAACTTCTTCGAATGTGTTAAAATATTTTATCATAAAAAATATAGACGCTACGTGCGTTAAATTTCTTTATTTATTTAAAATAATAATTATACTTATAACGAGAAACGTCTGCGCTTTTAATTAGCGCGACCCTTGATCTTAATCGTTAAAATCGTCTAACATTAATACACATTAATTCGTAACGGAGAATGGGGAAGAGAGAAGAGCAGATTCGCGTATAAACATATGAATTAGAAATTAATTGCAATTAAAATCAGATAGAAAGCCCCTCGACGATGTTCTTATATTGATCCTCGAAAAATAAGAATTGAGAGAGAAAAAAAAAAAAAAAAATGGGACGTTCATCCGATCGTCACGTCGATTGTTCGTTGACAGTTTTCGATAAACTTCAACTTATTAGAGAATTAATAAGAGTAAAAGAGAGATCGACGATACTTTATTTTTTTTCGTGCAGATGATTGTTTCTATATCTATTTTTTTAATTTATTTAACTTGAATGGTATCATTTTTATGCACTAATTTAATTCCTATTTGGAAAATTTGGAAAAAACGTTATCTATTTCTTATTCGTTTAAAAGA